AAGCTAATTTGGACTGAATCAGTTGAAGCATGTTTGTTTAGTGGGCAGAGTGATAGGAGGAAATGGGCTAATGGCACAGAGCCAAAAGTGCAAAAATGCATTTTTCTCTTCATAAAAGGGAATCTGGTCAGACAAATATACTGATTTCCATTATTGGAGACCTTCTGCATAAAGCAAAGCCTTTGGTCCTTAGATTTAATCGTTGATTCATTAAAATTTATCAATAATTCCACCAAACTGAATAGAAAATAAGAATAACAGAGCAGCTTATGGAGCGCATGGCGGTTCATCACCTGAAATGGTCACACAATGACCTCTGACCCCTGCTTGGAAAGGTCTGAGCCTCTAGTTTCCAATGATGCTGGCCAATAGGGGGCGGGGCTAAAAATGAATACCTGCTGTTGCATTACTCCCGCAGAGTCACGCACGTCAGGTGGAATTTTAAATCTAATTTCATTTTTTTTTTATTTGAAACATGTTTTAGAAATTTTAAAGCCCCATTTAAAGGCGTGTGGATGAAACACCATGTAACAGCGTTTTGCCCATTTCCATAATTAGATAAACATCAGCTGGTGTCAGCTGGGCGGGGTACCTGCACGCCGGGCTTACAGGGTTTAATGTTTATGATATCGAACACAGACGGAGAATCATTCCAACCCTCCAGATCAGTAAAGTTACTCACCTTCTGTTTCAACCGGCTTTTGACCTCTTTGATGCGCATCTTGGCGTGGTCCTTTGCCTGTTAAACAAACACAGCCGCGGCGTCAGGAGGAGCAGCGGTAGGGGAGGAGTTACACAATCAGCAGTCTTTGCTCCTTCCACATTAAAACAAAGCTATGGACGGACACTTTGGTGCTTACAAACTTGTAGACGGTCTTCATGGCTGGGTTGGCTTTGGTCTTCACGGTCTGAAAAATAGCTCCGCCCCCTTTCTGTTTGAAAACATTACAGAGTTAGAGGTGGAGATGACAGTTCTCACTCATTAGATGGAAACAAAGCTGTTCTGACTGCAGAGCGGATGGTCGCCTCCACAAAGCTAACGGTCTCAAAAGCCATAAAATCCATAATTACATCATCGGCTCTGACCCAACCTGCAGCGTTTGCTTCATTCACTGCTACATTTCTATAGAGTATAAGATACTAGAATGAACCTCTTGTAGGAGTTTGCCCTGCAACTGAAGGGTTGTAGGTTCAAGCCCCCGCTACAGCTTCACCCGCCATGCCTACTGATAGGAGTGAGCCCCAGAGCAGCTGTGGCTAAAGCTGAGTAGTTCACCACCATCAGGGAATGTCTGAATATAGGTCAGGTCTCCTGGTATCTAAGTACAGACCGTTTACATTCATGAAGCTGATCAAATTTTATTGCTTTTGTTTTTATTCCTAAACATCCGTTATGGGACCGTGCAGAGCTCCACCCTGCAGAGCTGATGTTGATCACAGCATCAGGGTGTTTGCACGAAGCACTTCAACCAGAGAACATTTCTCTGTCACCTGCTTTTTGTTCTAGAACATAACATCCATCCATCCATTTTCCGTCAACCTTTCTACTGGTGAGAGGCGGGGTCCACCTTGCACAGGTCAGCAGTCCATCGCAGGGCGGAACAGAACATTATGGACTAAATTCCTGCCTAAAATCTAAAGTCTGGGTTCCTGCTGCAGCTTTTCACCAGTTTAGCTGCTATCTGCCGATAGAAACACCAGAGAAGAGTTGAAATGGATTCTCACCTTCACAGTGAGGAGCCACTGGTGGTAGGTCCGGTCACTGCCTGTAGGGGGGGCAG